TATGTACGTATAAGTTAGCTTAGAAGATTAATGTGAAACAAAAACTTATATCGGTGATCTATCATCCATCAAAAGTATCGATCTTTTCACGAACAAACTCACCGACGGCATTCCCGATAGCATCGAAAGTCTGAAAGGTATAAAAAAGGTTCTTATTGTGTTCCATTTGTTAAGCAAATGTTGAGATGAATTTCGACAATGAAATTTTATGAAAATCAAGAACATTTTGCAAAATGTTTGCACCTGAATTTACAAAAACAAACCATTGATTTAGATTTTAGACTTCAGACATTTATCAGTTTACAAAAACAAACAATATTATTGATTCACATTTCAGACGTTAACATCACTCCTTATTAATCAGAAATAAAATAAACCTTCAGACTCCAACACCTCTTAAAAAACAAACACCAATTTAGATATAAAAAAACATAAGATGATTGTATAATGTTTATGGTTGTTTATTAAAAAATAACAACAATCCAAGACACAGAGAAACATAAAAACCAAGAATTTTTGTTTTTTTATTATAATGAAATATCAAATATATTAATTTCTCTAATAATAAAAATATACCTTTTCTTTTCTTAAGAAACAAAAGTATTTGCATGTATGATTAAAATATTCCTTGACATATACCAATTGTAGTTCATACATAATTTCTTTTATTATGTATCAATCTATCGTATTGGATATCAACTTAGGGACCGTTTACCAAACACTTACTCAGTAAGTGTTTATCGAGAAAATTTAACACTATTAATTACTTACCGGATAAGATTTTAGTCTATCAAAACGACATTGTATGCAACAATTCACCCGGTAAGCGTTTACCGTGGTAAGAGTCGTCGCTCTCAGTTACCGGGTAAGACTCATGGTTCTTGTTTCGCTCTTACCTGGTAAGATTCTTAGTCCTTACAATATTCATCCGATGAAGTAATGTGATTTGGTAAACGCTTACCCGAGTAAGTGTTTGGTAAACGGCCCCTTAATTGATACCATCTTTTTTTGGTTGGTACTGATTTTTTTTATCAATTTCAAGTTTTATATATATATATATATATATACATATATATATACATATATATATACATATATATATATATATACATATATATATATATAGAGGGTTGGGTTCACGTGAAACCAAGGGTTTTTTCATGAGACCCGTAAGACCAATTTATGTTCTTTGATCAACTTTATAAGCTAATGATTTAATGGTCTAAAGTTGCACGGTGGCAATTTTGTGATTATTGAGAAGTCTCGTGGCAATTTTGTGATTATGAATGTTCAGATTGTAGATCTAATCCAAGGGTTGAAACTTGTTCTTACGGGTCTCACGAAAAACTCTTGGTCTCACATGATCCCAAGTCTCTCTCTCTCTATATATAAACATGTTATTTTGTTTATATTTTGAGTGATATATTGAGTTTGCAGGTAGAACACGTCATGTTTAAGCGTCTTTTTTTTTTAACTACAAATATTTAAACGCTCAAATAAAAAAAAGTTAAAGTCGTGATGTTTTAATATTCAATACATTAAAAATACAAAAACCAATAAATAATCAAATAAGTTGGTATCATGGTACCACCATGATATGAGATTTCAAATACCAGGTACCAATAAAATTTCCGTATTTAATACGATACTACCAATCGATTATAATTTATATTAATTTTTTTGATTAACCTGGATATCCAACCCGCTATGCGAGTCGACTAATCCCAGGACGACCACCTGTTTTGCAGATAGCCCGGAGTCACCGCATTTGAACCTTCGTGGCCACAAGAGGATTTTTATTTCTCATTGAATTTGAACTTGTGACCTCTTTGTACTTTTGACCTTTGGAACCAATCCCAAACCAATACACTACCTTTATGATTAATTTATAATTTATATTAATTTAATTGATATTACTGGTACATGTGTTTGTGGCTTTAATTTAGTGCAAATTTACCACCCTTGATTATTTAAATATACATTTGCAAGTAGTGCACACTCTGAGGTCTGGAAGGTGGGGATCAAGAGGTTAAGGATCATCCATTGTTTCAACTTTCAACGGTTGATCTCATAAGATTTTGTGGGGGGTTTTTTGTGGTTCTTTTCAGTAAACATTTTTTAAAAAATTAACTTTTATCTTTCTATTTTTTTTAAATGTAAATTGGATATAAAGTTGTTAATTCCGAAAGTAAGCATCTGATTTCAACGGTTTTGTTATTTCTGAATCAGATGTTTCCTAAGCCTTTTAGTCCACTACCTCTATATCACTAATTGGTAACACTGAAATTTACCTTCAGATATATATATATATATATATATATATATATATAAGTTAATTTAAATCAGCTTTATTCAGTTTTATTCCGAAAGTGATCCCATAGTTGAGGTTTTGTTTTGAATGATCTGATAGTTACATTGACTATGGATGGACAACATGATTTTTTTTTTCGGTTCTCATTTTTTGTATTTGTTGTCGATAGGAATTTAACATTATAATAGTTATCATTAATATCAATTTTTTTGGTCAAAAATACTGACCAAATCTATATTTATATATGTAGATTTAAATATTAAATTTTTTAAAGCGGTAAAAACAAATATCATGTTGATGAAGTGACAACTCAAAAAACACTGTATAAGTATTTTGTAAGAGTTGAATGTATGTAGAACAAAAATATAGATATAGATATAGATACAGTGATATGGCTCTTTAAGAATCTCAATATTTACATATTAAACGGTTGATCTCGATGGGTTTTTATTTTCTAAACACACACACACACACACACACACATATATATATATATATATATATATATATATAGGGACTTAATCAAATGAGAACTAATTAGTTTGTGGTAACTGTGAAAACCAATATTAACCACAAATCAATAGATAAATTAGGAAATTTATAATTTTGGCAATTTTGAATTAAAATATTAATGCAAGGATATTTTTGGTATTTTAAAACTTTGCTCCCTCCTCTCTTCTCTCTCCGGCCACCGTCCGCCAAAGCGAAAAAACATATTTTTCAAAAACGTTCTAGAACAAACCAATTTCAAGACGGGCATAATGCATTTTCGGATTTAGATGTTGTATTATTGAGACTTAAGGACCGTTTACCAAACGTTTATCCGGATAAGCGCTTATCAAGTCACATTACCTTGCCGAATCAACTTTGCAAGGACTAAGAATCTTACCCAGTAAGAACGAATGCAAGGACTGAGAGTCTTACCCGATAAGTGATGATGACGACTCTTACCACGGTTAGCACTTACCGAGTTAATTGTTGCATATGATACTGTTTTGGTAGACTAATATCTTACCCGGTAAGTAATTGATAGTTCTGAATTTTGTCGGTAAACACTTACCCAGGTAAGTATTGGTAAATGTCCCCTTAGAAGGAGCCATCACGTGCGACCCACTCATATGTTAGCCTCAAATCAAAACGACAAATGTCATACCAATATTCAAAAGGTTGAGGTGGATCCGAGCCCCGCCTTACTTTTATATGGACCCACCTCTATATAGGACCAGGATCTGTAACTAGTTTGGTTGCATAAATCCAAATTGATATTTTTATGTAAGATCCAACATAAAAAGATAGAAATTGCATCACGAAAATCGTTTTGACGATGAGTGTTCATGCACACTAGTCTATAGGAACTTGTCAACAATAAAGAGGTACACGCAACACTCCTTAACATTCAAATCAATTTAAAACCATGATAGACGTTATTGGTATATCATACTTTGAGCTTATAAGAGTTTCTTCAACATGTATGTTATATTTTATTTATTTGGAGCAAAAAATTTTGAAATCTCCAAAACATCTAAAGTTGTATAGTTGTTGGAGATGCTCTTGATTAATCATCGTACCAAGCACGATTCATGAGTGAATTTGAGATTAAAAGTGATCAAATATCCAAATTCCTTCTTATACTTCTTACCTTAACTCTTTTTTTTACACGATCATTCACCAACCGATAATTTTATATTTTAATACAAAGATGACATCTTAATACCTCATGGACCCTTTTATTTTTGTAAAAAATACAATTGATTTTATATTTTATTTTTGTAAAAAATACAATTGATTTTATATTTCTTAATTTAATAATCAATCAATGCGTATCTATATCTATACTATATTATAAAGCATTTGACAAAAAAAATTAAAAATCATTTTTTATGCATGAAGTATTGTATATTGATGCATATTACTTAAAATTCAAGATTACAAGTAAATTATGCATAAATACAACTTATTAAAGCTCTATGTTTGAATTCGTACTAACTGCGGATAAACATAATCAAATAAAAGATAAACATCTCATTTTAAAATATAAAAAAATTAAAATATAATTAGAATAATTATCGAGTTCTAACAGAATCATTATCTTTATAAAAAATTTATTGTTAAGTCATAAATAAATTACTTCACTATTTGACATAAATTAAATTATAATAAAAAAATAAATTATATATAAAAAAATTAAATAGTTAATTTGATATTAATATCGATATATTTTTAAAAAAAAATTATAATGTCTTCAAATTTATTTTTATTTAAAAATAAAAATATTATCTTTCTCAAAACTACATGAATCATATTATATCAATAAAAACAAAAAACAAAATAAAATATTAAAATAAATATGTATCGCTCTACATTATACAATAAGTTTTAATTTCAAAATAAAAGTTTTTGAAGGTCGTTTTGATATTTGCAAACTGAAAACCATGGGATTATTCTCTGACATATTTTATTTGTTTCTAACAAAATACTACAAAAAGGAAAAAGAATTATTGCATTTTCGTTTAAGAAAAACAGTGTAGGCAGGTAGAAGACACGTGTAAAGAGATGACGTGGGAGGTTATTATTGGTTCTTGTGGGTACCAAAGAAGAAAGGTGTAGAACACTAGACTCTTATCTTACGCCCCATCACTAAACGTGCGCTGCCTTTTTGTCACTCACTCACCATCGTTAAACTTCCACTCGCACTCCCTCTCTGTCTATATACATATATTAATACATACATACACACGTATGAATCTAATTTCACCCCTGTATATCGCCAGCACTTGAAATCCCTAAATCTCTCTCTTTTATCTCTGTGAAATCACTCCTGTCTTTCGAGGTAATTCTTTAGTTTCTATAATTCGTATTTTTCTTTGTTCTTGTTTCAATCTGTGATATATCGGGTGTTTAATTTGTTCAATTAGATGAATTGTCGCTTGAATCAAGTTATATACGTGGATATAATTCTATATGATGATTTACATGTGGACTAGTCATTTTTGATTGTTAAAAATTAAATTTAAAAGCTTGTTGAGGCTTGTTTTGCTACAAGTGAATCATGATTGTTAAAATTCTACTTGTTGTTGATGTATCTTCCCATCGGATAAGTAGAAGAAAATGAACTACGTGGTGAACCCTAACTTTCAGCTCAATTATGTATTAGCAAACTTGCACTTTATGTTTGTGGATTAGTAGTCTAGAGATTAAAGACAGCGTAATTGTTGCATACTTCGTATTTTATGTCAATTGTTCTCCTGATGTACGATTTGATTTCGTGTCAAATGATTTCCTGATGTATAGCAGAGTAAAAGACCCTTTCACCATTAATGTTTAGGTTATGATTTATTCATCAGGTCATTCTTTTTGGTGGGGAGGGTTGGGTTGGGTTGGATTGGATGTGGGAAGAAAGGGACTTCATGGACTTATTTCACTATATGAATGATATAAATAGACTGAGAATCGTTTAGGATCAAACGAGAATGCTAACTACAAATCACGTGCAAAATCACATGTGATTTTACATTAGTGGTCAAAAAAGTTGTGTGGGCAACTTTGGCCGCGCTTCAGGTCGCTAGGTAAAGTCGCATGAATCACATGTGATTTTACACTAACATCATGTACAAAATCACATGTTCTCGTATGAACCCGACTCTCTCTCTCTCTCTCTCTCTCTCTCTATATATATATATATATATATATATTTGAAAGGCAGACTATATGAAGGATAATTTATGATACGGTTTATGAATTTCTGGTGTATTAAGTAGACATGCTATTTTCTTTTGGTGCTTATATTTTTTGCTGTGGGATCCAAAACTAATGTTGCAAAAATTCCAAGTGCTTGATGTGTAAGTTGTGTGCTATAAAGCTTGAACTTCGTTTGCCACAGCTAGGTGCAGAGAACGGAGTTATTTATAAGTGTCTCTACTTTACCATTTTGGAGAAAAATAGATTTAGACCTCCCATCAGCTTTGAGCAGAGTGCGACATCATGTTGTGTTTGCTCTGGCAAATAGTTGTTAAAGAAACTTTGTAATTTCCGATTCTTTTCTATCCATCTACTTTCATCGAACATGATTTCTTTCATAGCATCAATTATAAACTAATAGAAGAAAGTTTAGCTGCGATGAAAAGAAATTTGTAACCGTGGCGTCTTCTGGTAACAATTTATGTCCATGTCTGATGAAGTATCCAAGGGGATATATAAGATTTGGGCCAAGGAGAGTAATTTTAAAACATGTGCTTCATGATTTCTATCAACGTTACCTCTGTTGCTGTATCCATCTTGTCCTAAAATATTACTTTAAGTTGCAGAAAACAACCACAACTTTGGTCCTCACCTGATTCATATAAACCCTGTTAGTGAAGGTGGTTCACTGCCTAAAGTTTGCATCATTCACTTGTTTTGGGAAACATAAGACCATATTTCAGATGTTATATATTTCTGGTTGATAATCATGAGGTTGGTATCAGGCTCAATATTTCTTTTACCCAAAAATTTCTGTATTTCCATCAAGTTCCAGACTTTGGTTGTATAGAAACAGATCATGTATGACTTAGTACTCCTAAATGGTAATTGTGATAACTTTTGTATCAGTAAGTGTGTATCTTAATTTTTACCTAAATTTGTGAAACAGGATGAATGATTTCCAAAAGCGGTGTTCTTGCAGAGCTGTAGCCAGTCATTCTTGCTGATTGATTGGATTTCAGTTTAAATTTTTAGCAAATGGATCAACATGATACTTGTGGGGGTAGGCTGTATATTACCATTGTAGAATGTAGATAGCCCTTAGAAATACCCAACTTTAGCTTTGTGGATATTACTCATAGCCTAGAATATGGGTGCTGTTGTTTACCAAACAAGATTAGATTGAAGTAGATTAAGAGTTGTATATAACTTACATGGATGCGAGATTTTTTGCAAACCCTGCGTCAAATGCCTTCAAAAACCTTCGCAACTCCATCTGTCTTAAAGGACCTGAAAAGGGACCTGGTTATGCTACAGATACAGTGTTACGACTGGATTCACCGGGTTCCCTGAATTGTTCAATTTCTACCTCAAAAGGCGTTAAGCGCAAGTGGAGTTTGAGAGATGGATCAATGGATATGGAAGCTGAATTACCATTATGCCTCTGGCTAGGCCATTCTTCAAGTTCCTCAGACAGCAAGGCGAGTTCTGCGACCGGATGCACCAGCACCACGTCTTCAACTAAAGAAACTGATGAAGAGGCCTCGATGGATCTAGAATTGGACTTCAGTCTCCATCTTGGTGGTGAAAAGGCACCTCCACGAAAGAAAATCTCTAGTTCTAATAAATTGTCTCTGGATCTTGAAGACCAAGTTGATCTAGAATTGAGTCTCTTATCCACGCCTGCTGAATCTGATTTCAGTACTGTTCAATTGAATACTTCTGAAAAGATTCCGCCAACTGTTGGTGGTGATTTGTATATGAATGAAGGTTCAATTTCATCACATTTGAGAACTCAAAGTCCGTTTCCTTTGTTGCAGAGTTCAGAGAACACAAAACGTAGTTGCTTTCTCAAGCAGGCTCCATCATCCAGCATCGTAACTGTACCAACTAGTTCAGTCACCTGTTTATCCGGGATAGCCCAACAACAGCAACGGAACAGTATCACAAAGATGTGTCAATTTGATGGATGTGAAAAGGGAGCAAGAGGTGCTTCTGGTCGTTGCATTGCACACGGAGGTGGTCGCAGATGTCAGAAGCCCGATTGTCATAAAGGATCCGAGGGTCGAACCGCTTACTGTAAAGCCCATGGTGGTGGTCGAAGATGTGAGTTTTTAGGATGCACCAAGAGTGCAGAAGGACACACGGATTACTGTATCGCTCATGGTGGCGGCAGAAGGTGCAGCCACACAGCTTGCACCCGTGCCGCCCGAGGGAAATCCGGGTTGTGTATACGTCACGGTGGTGGAAAGAGGTGCCAGATGGAGAATTGCACAAAGAGTGCCGAAGGCATTTCTGGTCTCTGCATTTCTCATGGAGGTGGTCGCAGATGTCAAGTTCCCGACTGCACCAAAGGGGCGCAAGGGAGCACAATGTACTGCAAAGCACACGGTGGTGGCAAAAGGTGCACGTTTGAAGGGTGCAACAAAGGGGCGGAAGGAAGTACGCCATATTGCAAAGGCCATGGTGGCGGGAAAAGATGTACCTTTGACCTTGAAGGTGGAGCTTGCCCAAAGAGTGTCCATGGTGGAACTCTTTTTTGCGTAGCACATGGTGGTGGTAAAAGATGTGTCGTGCCAGATTGCACACGGAGCGCAAGGGGGCGTACAGATTGTTGCGTCCGCCACGGGGGCGGAAAAAGATGTAAGTTCGAAGGGTGTGCAAAAAGCGCTCAAGGTAGCACGGATTTCTGCAAGGCACATGGGGGAGGGAAGAGATGCTCGTGGGGCGACGATGTTTGTAATCTGTTTGCAAGGGGCAAAACCGGAATGTGTACATCTCATGATGCCTTAGTGCAGGATAACCGGGTCCATGGTGGAGCCACCATCGGAACCCTGGTTCATGAAACTGTACCGAACCCATCTGGAGAAATGGAAAAGCTTATGACCACAGATGACATGAATGTTGATGCTATTATGGCATCATCATCATCATGTTTGAAAGCTTTTGGTGTCTATAAAGGAAGTGTTTCAGTTTCAGTTCCAGAAGGGAGGGTTCATGGTGGAAGTCTGATTGCTTTGTTGGCAGGTAGTTCTGGTGGCTTATCAGATTCAGGAAAATGTAACATGATGCCTCAGAAGTGGATATAATCAATCAGTCATTTCTTTTATGACGTCTGCAAGGGAATGATGACTGTTTTCCACCATTGTTGAATGAATAAGGTGGAATTAGGTAGTTGTTGGTGTTGTTTTTTGTTTCTTTGTAAATTGTTAATAGTGTTTATCTCCATCACACTTTGTTTCTTTGTAAATATGTTCTCAAACAACAAAATTTCTTTGTTTCTTTGTAAATATGTTCTCAAACAACAGAAGATGTTGCAACATATAAGGTATTCCATGAAATATACTTTAATCCCAAAACAGACCATATGACTGTATTAACGACAGGCAAAATCTCGATTTTTGTGCGATGACATCAACTTTATAACTTCGTATGCATGACATTTTGTTCTTTTTTTTTGGTTTTGTTTTCTATGCATCATTTGATAAATTTCATGGTACTTTATTCTATCATCAGTGTGAAAACCACTCGTTCACAAACTCTCGTGTTTGAATTTGGCCATTTTGGAAAGCTCATTAACAGCTTCAACCAAATGATCAAGTCGAGCCACAAACTCTATCAGCAATGATGTGAAAGTAGCAAGTGACAATGCTGCAGTGCTCTCCCATGCTCGTATCCTTGGAATGTCATTCGTGTCATTTTCAAAAGTAGATGTGTCTCGTGATGGCCAGGAATACTGCCTTGTTGACTGTTTTCTTCTTGTCTCATCTTCAGTAATCTCTGTGTTAAATTCAGCCAGTTGGTTTGAGAGGTTAGAGATTGTGGATGAGAGGGTATGAGATAGCTTTGGAAATGGTTTTGATGAGTTATCAGATTGTTCGTAACCAGATGCATGAAGATACAAATGCATGTCGATAGCTCTTTGGAGTCTTGTTGTTGAGTTGTGGACACTTTTCAATGAAGAACATTTTAGGGTTTGCTTCATGTCACATATGTCTTTGCCCAAACATCTGATTAGCCCTGTAGCCTTGCTTGTTGTTTCTAGTATCTCTGTTTGGAATGCGAATCTTAAATTGTAGGATGCCTATCAAGAACAATCAAACATCAGATACCCTGAATTTCAACCACTTGGAAAATAATGAAGTCTGAGAGGGAAGTCAAAACCTGAATCTCTGAGTGAAGAACACCATGAAGTGCCATGACTTCATATGCGCAATATCGTAAGACCGTGCCCACTTTGACGTATTCACTCCAAGGATAGAAGAAGTGTCGAAACCTGCCATGCGGTGGCTCCCATTTAGCTGAAAGAGCCTTAAGAATTTTAATTGCAGAAAAACCAAAATTAATTGTTAACTCAGATCAGCCGAATAGATCTAAAATACAGACGTCGAAATGTAGAAGTTTCATAAACCAACAAAGTTATGCGTATTACCAATGACTCAAGTTTAGTCGACAAGTTCAATATGGAGCGAAATTTTTTGTATGCAGGCTCATCTGGGAATTCATCAATGAGAGTCTTGGTGAACTCCGGACGCTCTGATCCATCGTCGGCCAAATATTTGTTGACACATTCTGAATTTGCCCAAATGTAAAAGCTTAGTGATTCTTCTATTAGAGGGGTACCATAAGATGTAAAATTTTCAAAATGCACAAAGTTACCTTCAAGTGAATCTGCCACTGAGTAGAAGTTCTGAACCAGTTCTTTGTGCAACTGCTCACCAGCCCATATGGGAAAAATCAGAGCATTCACTGCTACTGCTATGATTGCTCCAATGGCAATCGAGTAAAGCCGATCAATCGATGTTCTAACAGGATTCCCCATCCGATACCCCGAAACTATGATCAAGCAGTATGTAAACAATAGAACTCGAAAACCATACTCATATGGCACAAGGGTTGGCCATAACTTTATGAATGAGGTTATTGTCCCTATAAATGAGAAAGAGCTTTTGCTTAGCATTATTGCATTCTTGTAAGTAGTGTGGAATACCTTATATTACTTGTTGATTTACCTATCATAAAAATACTGATGCCTATTATAACAGGTTCAACAACTTGACCACTCATCAAAGCTAATTCACCAACAGCAATGGCCAAGACTCCAGCAAGCAAACTTCCAAGCATACGGTTGAATCCTTTGCTAAATGTTGCACCTTCAACGATTCATCATCAAGATCATGCACAGGAAAGTTATCTAGTTATCAGTCATAATATAACGATTTCTTTTATCTACTATTCGTTCTTTCTTCTGTAGGTTGACCATCTAGTTGTCAAACACTAACTTTTGAAGTATATAATATTTATATATAGCAATTACTCATGCACACTCCTCACGTTTGGTTAGGTTTTAACCCTTGACCTCCTGGGAGGTTGGTTGGGCCAATGATCCTTTGATTCAAACAAAAAAATTTGCCGGGAGCTAGTGTAACACATATATGTACACAATTGCACATACCAACAGTATATTCAAACATGATGGCGACTGTGAGGATGGACCAGATGATGCTGGTGCCGAACACTTGATAAGGTGCTTCGAATAGTATGAGTAAAGACACAAGGAGAACAGCAAGTCCAACTTTTAGAGGGAATGTCACCCGGCTAGTGTCTTCTTTAGCGAATTCCCAGATTGTGTACATCCAATCTTTGAATTTGTTTTTGGTTTCTGGCAGTTTATCTTTGGTGTTGGACGATATTTTGATGCCAAAACTGCCCTCCTTTCCATTCATTGCCCTTGATGAGTATCTATGCGCTTAAGTGTGGATTTCGAGGAGAAGATGTGGAGGAATGAGTTTTGGGATGAATAAATAGAGTCGTTTAGAGACAAGTCTGGTTTTAGTTGTTGATGCTACTAAAGAATAATGCTTCGATAAGGTACATGAAAATACCCGATGGAATTAAACACCAAGATAAAAGATGCATAAGCTCAATAATTCTTGCATCAATAAAGAATTAGAATCTATTTACAAACATGACCTTGTGTTTCTAATTAGGGTTTTGTTCTATTTGATGTCCTTTTAACTTCGAAATTAGAAGTATAACTAAATGAAAGTTCTGTTTCTTGCTTTTGTATGTAGTTGTAGTGTATTCATATAAGATTCGACCCTACATGCTCTTCAGATCTTCCATTTCAAGAAATCTTGTTATTGAAGTTTCTACAAGTACCTGAAGAAGCCTACAAATCAGATTTGCTTGTACAGTTATGTTTTCTAGTAGAAGTGCAATAAGGGGTCCTAAAAGATCTTCAGAAATAATGCATGCACAAATTGCGGTGTGCATGTACCGTTCGTTATCTTGTGTTCATTTGAAAGGCCCCATTTTTTATATGTTGCAGGTGGGACCCATAAAAACGAACTAAAAAGGACTAATCTTTATCAGTTCATTAACAACTCCCACCCTTTCAGATACACCTTGACACCATTTTCACTTTTTGCAGCCCGGCTCGATTCTTCTCTGAATGGAGGATTTCTTTTGCACCATTGGCTGCTCGTGCAGATTACAGTCCGATGTCTTTTATTCCTTTTTTGAGTATTATCTTGAGTTTTGATACTGTTTTCCTTTCCATTGATAAGATGGTGGATTTGTTTGGACAGAGGAAGAAAAAGAAAGCCAGTTACAGCCAGTGGCATATATTCGGTTGCTGTGGTGTTTGAGGCACTTTTCGTTGGTTTTTCTTGCTGGAAAATTTTCTACACGAAAGCGGCTTTTGACTATTATGAGCAAGAGGTTGCCAATTTAAGTTTGATGGCAATGCACTTTTGATTTCTTTGACATATTTTCTGTCTAGATATGAAACTTAGGGAATATATGCACATAGCCTGGACTGAATTTCATCTCATTTTCACCTCCTTTATTTCTTGAAAAAGTGTAGATACCTTACCCATCATCCTTGACCAGTCAACAAAGAGGAATGATAGAAAAGGTACATGATCATGCTAGATCATGTCTGAATTCTAGATTTCAAGCAGCCTAAAACACAACAAATGCCAGTGGTGGTTTGAGCCTTTTTTGGGCATTTCATCTGTGCATCGTGAGGATAAGCACCAGGAGATAGTGTTATATAGAGAAAGTGTACGTGTTAGAACCTTTTGACTAGTTGCAGGCTGGCTTAGGTTATTTTTGGCAAACTAGCTGATAAGCTAATTGTTAGTTGTTGAGCAATCATTAACGATAAGTTAGATGTTGGCTTGCAAGCCCAAATGCATGTGGTTGGCATTTATCCGGAGATGGTGTTTATGCATGAACAGAATCCAAAGTCACATGAAAAAGTGTACTTGTGTTGAAACGCCTTGACTAATTACAGGTTGGTTTTGACTATGTTTGACTAACTAACTGATAAGTTAGCTATTGGCAGACAAGCTAGTTGTTAGTTGTTGCTAATACACTAGCTATTAGCAGATGAGTTAGTTGTTGGCTAATAAGCTAGTTGTTAGTTGTTGGCTGATAAACTAGCTAATAGTTGAAGTGTTAGTTGTTGGTTAATAAACTAGTTGTTATCTTATAAGTTCAATTTTTTTTTTGAAGTATATAATATATATACGGCAAATAGAACAAATAAACTCACACACCCTCCTCACCTTTGATGAGGTTTGAACCCTTGACCTCCTAGGAGGCCAAAAAGCCACGTACCGCTAGGCTAAAGGCCCTTTAGTTATAAGTTCAATGTTGGCCGATAAGTAGGGCATGCATGTACAACATGCATTAGATGTAGTACATCAAGAATCCTAGAAGCTTTGGGTTAAAGCTGAAATCTGGTTCATGCTGTTGGGAAGTCAGCTTTTTGATAGGGAAATAGAAACCATTTTTAGAACTTGAGGGCTTGTTCGTTTAAACTAGTTTTAGAACTTGAGGGCACTTTTAACCTTTGGAGTTCAAGTTCAAACCAATCAGACACCATTTTTATGGTTGACATTAATAGATTACAGACTAATGGTGGGAAAAAACGGTACCTTCAAATGATCTTTGTTTGTCCTTTCACGACTAGTACTAGCTATAACCATTCCGCTCCTTGACTAGTCTCTTTTGAGAAAAATACCGGACTCTAAGATCCGGCCTCTTTTACCAGATTTAAAATTATATTTTTAGTTTTTTAGTATTTCAAATGAGATTTAAATTTATTAATTTTTTCTAAAACTGTGTTTAAGATAAATTTTTTTGTTAAACCGTCTATTTTCTTAACTTATTAAAAACCTACCTCGTTTATGTTCTATTTGCCAAATAACTAAAATACGAGATATTTAGCTTCGAGAGCATGAACGATTGTTCGATTTTGAGTTTTAAATATTTTAATTTGGATGAATAAACCTGCAACTTAAATGTTTAGCAAAATCCAAAAATGGTCAGTTAATTGTTTGGGAAGTTTTAAGTTTTAACGCATGTACTTTCACTCTAAATTGGTTAACTTTTAGAGCGGTTTTATGGATGGTACGGTCCACTAGACGTGGCTCATTCGGTTCATTAGAAAAGCGGCTTGGATGATCATTCTAAAAAATTGATGCAGACTGGATTGTAATAATTCAGCGACGAAAAAAAGAATTCTGACAGGTTGCCTTGCTGTTATATGATTATGAGTAATTAAAGATTTATATAATTAATACTTTATTCTAAAAAAAAGTTGGGTAAAATGCGTGAAATAGCAACTTATTTTTACAAAACTTATTATTATAGCATTCTACGTTCAGTTTTTGTTATTACGACCACCTGCTTTGCAGATAGCTCGGAGTCACCGCATTTGAACCTCCGTTGCCACAAGGGGATTTTTATTCCTCCTTGTATTTGAACCTGAGACCTATTGAACCCGTCATTTAATTTTATAACAAATATTAAGTTGGTCATTTGACGTGATGATTCACACAATGCATCCTGATAATTTCGCTGAGCTTCCTTAAGATCATACTTGCATAAAATTAACAAAGATTTTTGGAACATAACATAAACTAAACCATTATCAGGTGATTAGATTGGACGTGTTTGCATACAATATCAATATTTTGGATTTTCAAATTTGGAACTTGTCAGTTGTTGTTTATGTTCAAAACATATACTTTCGTGCAAATATATCGGTTAGGAACCAACTATAATGTAGTCTTCGGTTCCCTATAAACATCGATCCAATGAAAATCAAATATGTCGACAAAACAAACTCTAATGACAAAAACGGTTTATTGATTGAAGATATTAGCACGGGGTAATTTGCAAATCGTTTAAATACCCATAGTACCAAACCGAAAACCCAACCTAAATGATTTACAAGTAAAGTAAAAAAAACACGTGTTAACAGTCGTTATTCATTCTTACATTATTTAATGAATAACTCATGGTTATTTTGTGAATTTTTTTAAAAATAAGGTTAAAAGTATAAATTAATAATTATGGAGGATTATTTTCGTAAGGAACCCAAAAATACAGGTATACATGATGGTATTTCTTGATCATACCATTTTTGAAAGCTTATTTGTATATTTCATCGACTCAAATAAAAAATTAAATAAATCGAATTCTTTTTAGGTGGATAATTTATATTTATTTTGGAGGAGAGAAAACACAAAGCGTTTGTAGTCCAACGGTTAGGATAATTGCCTTCCAAGCAATAGACCCGGGTTCGACTCCCGGCAAACGCAGTTTTTGTATTTTTAATTTATACACATTTTACTTTATATTTAATTTTAGTTATTTAAAAATAACAATTACAAACGAATATTAATATTTAATAATAAAGTTATTGTAAAAATAGCAATTAATATACATGTGAATATTTAATAGTCACAAGAATATTTACATGCTTACTATTCAGACATTTTTTTTAATCAGACATTAAGTTCTCACATTTATTAGTCATGTGCCTACGGAGTCAAGTGGATTTCTGTAAATCCGGCTGGCATGGACTAAAATACCCTTTTGTCTCACTCCGTACAGCATTACACATCGAAGGGCAGTTTGGTAACTCACGAGTCACGTCCAAGCTGTTTCAGACACCTCACAGTTCACATGCCTCATCCCACTCCTCCACACATGCTTTGACTCTAATATTGACGATTCTTACTTCCACCACCGCCATGGGAAATTGCAACGGCATCCCGGCTGCCGCCGACGGTGGCGCCACCACTACCATCTCCTCAAACCCCATCAATTCAAATGAACCGCCACCTCAGAAACGATCTCCACCCAACGGACTCACGATTCTTCCTGCATCGGAGCCGGCGCCTCCTCGCCATCCGCTGCCGGCTACCGTCGGCCGTGTCCTCGGCCGGCCAATGGAAGACGTTCGTGCAACCTACACAATCGGCCGCGAGCTAGGCCGTGGCCAGTTCGGTGTGACGTACCTCGTCACTCATAAAAGCACGGGCCAAAAGTTCGCTTGCAAGTCGATCGCGATGCGTAAGCTGATCAACAAGGATGATATTGACGATGTCCGGAGAGAGGTTCAGATAATGCATCATCTCACTGGACACCGTAACATCGTCGAACTCAAAGGAGCGTACGAGGATCGGCACTCTGTTAACCTAATCATGGAGCTGTGCGCCGGTGGGGAGCTGTTTGATCGGATTATTGCCAAGGGACATTATTCGGAGCGTGCAGCTGCTGGACTGTGCCGGCAGATTGTGACAGTGGTACATAATTGTCATACGATGGGGGTGTTTCATAGAGACTTAAAGCCTGAGAACTTTTTGCTCTTGAGCACTGATGAAGACTCACCGTTGAAAGCTACTGACTTCGGTCTCTCGGTGTTTTTCAAACCAGGTATTATGTGTGAATAATGTAGCATAGTTTCCAAATTCCAAAATACATGTTCCATCACAATACAACATAAATAGTCTAGAGAAAGGGGATAACCAATTAAACACTTTCCGTCATGCACCAGATTCGAACACACCTCTATTTCGGTACCGAGCGAATGAGGGTTTTAACTGCGCCAAATGGACAGTTCCATCTGGACAATGTATGAGAGCATACTGATATTGCCGAACTATTTCGGTGTTGATGTACCTTGCTAGTGTAGGTTCAATTTGGCCAATAATGTATGGATTGAGATTTCCATTGGGAGGTAAAACTCGAAACTTCTACTCCGAAGCACATGCTGGAGTTCTCTCTATTCAAAGGTATGACTACCTAAGTAGCATCTAGGGTACTAAGAGAAACGACTCTATGAGATATCTTGGTATTTCTTTTAGCATCTTCTACATATATCACATTTACCAGGGATCTCATAACTTAGCTAACTACAATGAAGGAAAGGAAAAGCTTTCACAAGCATCCAATGGTTGTTATTTATTTATTTTTATAGTTTAATGTCATTATTGTATGATCTCTTGAATGTGTTCAAGTGTCTCATGTTTTAGTGGGCTCACTTACCATGTGTTTTGATCATACAGTTACTTGTGGCTGCAGGAGATGTATTCAAAGACCTTGTTGGAAGTGCATATTATGTAGCTCCTGAAGTGTTGCGCCGGCATTATGGTGCTGAGGCGGATATTTGGAGTGCGGGCGTAATTCTCTATATTTTACTCAGTGGCGTCCCACCATTTTGGGGAGGTATGCTTTTTAGATTTAATTTTGATGAGGTTGTTCATCATAGAATGAATCTTCCCCTATTTCATAATATTTCCATGTTTTGATTCTTCTTCACTAACTCGTTAGAGAAAACAGTTTGGTCACTAGTATTTATAGAGACAAACCTTGTTACATGTCCAGGTTTTGTTTCTTCATGTACTTGGTAAAGTGAACAGTTGTATAGCTAGTATCTAAAAGGACAAGTCTTGTTAAAGTTTACCAGGTTACATCAGTATCTAAGTAGTCTTTGCCTGTGAAAGAAATTCCCAAATGGGTGTTTAATTGTCAATCTTGACTTTTGCTCATCCATGAATGGCATATACACCCAAGAAACATTATTGTTCTGGTCGGCACAAAATTGTCTTAACCTGTGAAGGTTTCCTTATGACACTCAGCAGATAAACGGCATATTAAGAAAGCCACACCAAAAAATGTAATCATTTCTTAGTTAGATATTCTAGTGTATTGGTGCTAAGGTGCATATGCAGATAAACAAGTACACACATATACAATAAGATACGACACCTGTAGTTTTGTAGCCCTTTAAATTGTTGCTAATGTAATAAATTAGGAGTTTCTATTACAGTTTGAATATAAATAACTTAATCTTCCAAATAAATTATTTCGCTATAAAAGTTTGTTTTTCTTCAGTACTTTAGATTCTTAGGTCTACCACAATCATTTTTTTAGGTAGTGGTATACTTAAAATAGCATGTCCTTTTGTAGGCTCATAATCATTTAGAATAGACGTTCTTCTTGACCGGATCAAAAGGGAAGGATATTTTTGTTTCACAGCAGAGGGAGTTGTAAAAAGATACGGATTATATAAATCCTAAGTCATGTTATTCTTTTCGCACGGAAATTTTGGTTGTTAGCCAAGTATGACTGATGACATATCCATTTCTTCTCTTAATTCACAACGTACCATTTCTTCCTTGAAGTTTCTGATTTTCTTTCTCCTTTTACAGAAACCGAGCAGAGTATCTTTGATGCGGTTTTACGTGGGAATCTCGATTTTGTGTCTGATCCTTGGCCAAGCATATCAAGTAGTGCCAAAGATCTTGTCAAGAAGATGCTAAAGGCTGATCCTAAAGAAAGGCTCACTGCGGTTGAAGTCCTAAGTAAGTTTTAATCTTGATAAATGGAGATATATGAATCAGGTGCCCTCAAGCAAGTTTTTCTAGTAATTATAAAAAAACAAGTTGTTTAGTCATGTGGTCTTTTGTCTTAGATCAATAAGTTTTTCACCTGATTGGAATGTAGATCACCCGTGGATGAGAGAAGATGGTGATGCATCAGATAAGCCCATTGATATTGCTGTGCTTACAAGAATGAAACAGTTCCGAGCAATGAACAAACTTAAAAAAGTAGCTTTGAAGGTGACAATGTTTTCTTAATTCAACTCCGTGGCTTTCTTTTCCTTTTCTTCCCTTTTCATTTTCAAGTATCTTTCTTTGTAGATGTCTAGTATTCTGATTTAAGTCTTTCTTTCTGCCGAGTTAGGTAATTGCAGAAAATCTTTCTGAAGAAGAGATCATTGGCTTGAAAGAGATGTTCAAATCCATGGACACAGATAATAGTGGTACAATAACCTTTGAAGAGCTGAAAGCAGGCCTTCCTAAACTTGGAACCAAGCTTTCTGAGTCAGAAGTGAGGCAATTAATGGAAGCGGTACTCTCCAAAGGATTTTCTCTAGTCTTCTTCTGATTTTATGTCTAGTGAGACCCTTATCTTGTATTCCAATGATGTGTATTGGTAACATTATTGATTTGTAGGCTGACGTCGATGGCAACGGAACGATAGATTACATTGAATTTATTTCTGCTACAATGCATTTGAATCGCGTGGAAAGGGAAGACCACTTATATACAGCCTTTGAATACTTTGATAACGACAAGAGCGGGTTAGCATTTTGACGTGAACTATTTTTAATTTTAAATGTATCCTTCACAAATACAAGGCTAGAAGTTCATTTCTTGGCATATAACCATACATTAATTTGTTGCTTAGTTTAAGCTTACCTTTGCGGATCATTTGCTAAATGCAGATATATAACAGTGGAAGAATTGGAGCATGCCTTGAAGAAGTACAATATGGGTGATGAGAAAACAATAAAGGAGATTATTGCAGAAGTTGACACAGATAATGTATGTTCCCTCTCTCCTCCCCCACTCTGCCTGAAGCATAATCTGGATAGGAAAATAAGTATACTTCATATCTCACCTGAAAAGTAAATAATAGACACATGAAACACAATAACTCGATCTTTTCCATGTTTTATCAGAATGTCCCAAAGCAGGCCTGGCCGCCTGGGAAGAGGTATTAACCGAGATCTTACACTTCTGAGCTACCTCCTTGGAGGATGCAAATAACTGAATAGATCATGCTATTAAACGGAATAAACTCCTAATTCTAATATAGAGATGTTTTGGAGTTAATAATGACTGGTGTTCATATGGTTGCAACTTTTTAGACGTCTATTTTCAAGTTCAAAAAGATCTGCATGGTTGCCGGATAGCTAGCCCCTTTTTTTTTCTCTTTTCTTGTGAGATCCTATTAGAAAATACATGCAAGTGTAACCAAGGTCTGGAGGTGGGAAATGAGGGTGCTCAGTCAAGTTGATTCAGTTGCTTATTATATTAAACCATCTGCAGGGAGATTGTTTATTTCTAGAACAAGCAGGGAGATTGTTTATTTTTAGAACAAGTCAGTTATTATAACAACCCGTCCCACATGGACAGAAAAAGTAGATTTGTGAGCTCCTTATAAGCTCAAATTTGTGGGCTACCAACAACTTCCACCATGGTTGTAAGTTTATTTATAGGTTATTAGGCCAGCCTGCTTTTATGGGCTATGAGGCCTTACAGTTATCCACACCAATGACTAGTTCTAGTATGCTAAGAATGTTTCCAAAAGAACTTGTAGAATAATACCCAAAAGCAAACATAAAGAGGTGAACCACCTAGGATTCTTAAACATGAATGACATCCTCATTGAATGTCAACTCCTTTCATAGTCACACATGCAATCTCTCTAAAATACTTCTCCTTTTGGGTGTGCGATTAACATAAGCAACAACATTTTATTTCTATTCAGATAAAAAATGCCTTTGGTAACCTTAAGTTAAAATTTTGTTATAATAGATAAAGTGGTCACTAATCTCTCATAATTTTCTTCAATTGCGTACTTTACGAAAAAGGTTTCTTAATATTATTTATACCAGTGTAATCATATCAATTATATTCTCTTTATCCAATTATCATCAAATTAACCAACAAAAATAAAAAATAATGGTCAAGATCACTACCATCTCCATTAAATTGTTCTTTGATTTGTGCTTTTCCCCTAATTCCCTAAATCGATTGTTTCGGTTAGTTAATTTGTTTTGAATGAAAACGACATTATTGATATGTTAGTGAGATTACAGCTATGATTAATAAATCGTTTGGTTGAGGTATGCAATTGGAAACAACCATGATAGTTCAGTGACCAGTTTATCTGTTTTGCCTTCAACTTTTGGGGCTTATTAATTAGCTTGCTGAATTTGGACCTCGTCTAACTACAATTATTGTTAACCAAGGAAATTTGTTCGTGGTAAAGGCAAGATACACTTGGGCCAGAAAAATCCATGCCAAAATATCCCAAAGCCTTGGTGGTTTCAACCTGTTAACACCTTTTTCAAGTATATAGTATTTATATATAGCAACACTCACACTCGGGCTTGAACCCTTCACTTCCAGGAGGCTTAGGTACCCCTGGGTCAATGACCCTTTGGTCTGTTAACACAAAGTCCCGTCCTGAAGTCTGAAGTATACCTGCACCTCGTTTTGTTGTCTATATTATATTATTTAAGCATACCCACAATAGCCTATAATGGAGACCACATACTAAGGGGTTGTGTACTGGGTTAGAGACTCTTACCAGGTAAGAGGGGAGGTTGTTTACCATACACATTGACCGTCAAATGATGCTGATCCGTAGTTCTAGTATACCAAAAGAACTTATAGAATAGTGTGATACCCAAAAGCAAATATCGTAATGCTGACTCGGTACGAAAGGAAAGGCTCTCTTACTCGCGTCAGCGCTTACCAAGACTGAACCTCTTACCCATACCACACTCTTACGCAGTTAGCGCTTACCCATTTGTATTGGTAAACGGCCCCTAAAATTCTTAAATTCACTGGCAGAGTCATTTATTTTAAGAATGGCTTCCGTGTTCTTGTGTCTCAGCTCCTAATTTAAAGCTGTCTGTGTTTTTCTCTCTTGTTGGAAAGGCAATGACATATCATCATCATAAGTCTTGTTTCTTGTCTAAAACCTTCACAAAGCAAACCAGATTTTCATAGATATTATAACTCCATGAAATCCTTTCAGGACGGACGAATAAATTATGAGGAATTTGCAGCCATGATGAGGAAAGGCAACCCAGAGATGATCGCCAATAGACGTCGTAAATGAAACAGATGACCCACCCACGTTCGTTTTTCCTCTTCATTTTCTGCGAGCTGATGAACCCAGTTATAGCAGCAGCCTGTCAGTTTTCCGATCTTTCAAATTCATATATGCTATAAATATTTGTCTTGAGGTATGTGGCGTGCTATTTAATGATGTCAAGTTTTTGTTATGAGGGTATTTATTCTTTCTGGGGTACATTGATTTGTTTCCCAGAAGTACCAGATTGGGGTTTGAAATTGATATTATATATAACGTACCAATCTGTGCTTGTTTCTGTAATCCGGGTTTTTCTCTGTTTTTTGCCATATGATTTTTAGCTGCTTTCTAGGATTTCTGACTTAACAAGATGGATGCAGGTACAAGGGTGTCGATGAATTTTAAGTATTTTATATGATCATCACACCCTGTGTAGATACGAACAAGAAGAGTTGCTCATGGACTGCAAGGTAAAGACCGAACCCGAGTGACATGGTATGGTTGAAAAAGGTCAGGTCTGGTCTGGTTCCTTTAGAAAAAAAGGAGGGGGAAGAAATTAATGAATTTAATAGAACATTTGAACCTACGTGAGAATACGTGGAACCCCATTAGATTACTCTTCAAAAGAGCCCTTAAGGAGATAAATGAAGATTCCAACATATATAGAGGATTAATTATCCAAGTCTATTCGATGTGAGACTCCAACATGCCCCCTGCAACCAAGTCTAGACAGACATTGATTGGCCAAAGTGTCGAGAGGAGGCTAGACGAGTACATGTTGCCTGAGAGTAGTAGACCTGTCTTTATTTGGTCCATACTGGTTTGGACTTTATATGGTCCGAAAATAGACCAATTCGGACTTTGTCCGGTTTGACTAAAAAAATTGGCATGGAAAAGGACACCCTGGTCCAGACTAATAACATCATGAAGTGGTCTTTCTTTAGGACGGTTCATCTCTACGGAAAGGCCTATGCAGAAGTGTGCATTTAAAACTCGTTAAGGGGGACAAGACTCAGAAATGTGCATTTAAGACTCGTTAAGGGGGACCAGACTGGTTCGGGACCGATTTGGGGGAAGTTAAGGTCAACCAGACCAGTCTGTAAGGACCAGTTAGGCAATTTCGCAAAAGGACCGGTTACATGGACCGATCCCCTTAACCAGTGAAACTATTTTTTTATATCATGCTATTTAATATATTTTAAAGATACATTTATGGAATTCACCCAATATCACGTGATATCATATATATTATAAAATTTGAAATTTTTTATCAAAGAAAATATTATAAACCAATTATTTAATAAATTTATAACTAAAAAACATAATAAATAAATTGGCCTCAAAAAATCTGGCTCAATCGGTTACAATTATTTAATGTATTTTAGCGAAACCGGCTCAAAGGTGTGTGAGCTTGGAATGGTACGGTTAATCAGGTTGCTTGTGTATGGGTATATTTACAATAGTTATATTAAAAGGTATCCAAATTGTCTCTTTATTAAACAAATGGAATTGCAAAAAGGCCTGATTTAAGAGGACCAAGCAATGTCAGATTGGTTGGAAGTGTTCGGTTCGGACCAATTACACCATTCTGTGGGTGACTGGTTAAACGACCGGCTAATTTCTTTGATTTTTTTTTATATAGAGGGGGGAGGGCCCTCCTATCAAGAGGAAAAACACTAAACGTTAAAAGCGACAAATTTAAGCACTCGTGTGGGGGCAAACCGCATCCACCAGAAAAGAACTAAGGCTCCCCGAGGGGAAAGAAAGGAAGAAAAGAGGGGGAGGGGGAGGGGGAGGGGGTAGAGAGAGACCAACCACTAGGGAAGGTTCTAGGCAAGCCGAGCCCGAACAACATTTGGGTAGGGCTTTATGGTCAGGCTAAGGGGCTTGGACCAGACATCATCAGTGATTGTCTTGACCACCATATCATGCGATCTTCTCTTATTCTTGAAGATGCGATTATTCATTTCTTGCCAGAGGTGGTAGCCGATACCAGCAAACACTAATATTCGAATAATAGACCAAATGGTCTTGCCTTTGGTGGTGTAACACCCTAAAAATTTATGATTCGTAAAATAAATAAATGTTAAGGGTTAAAATTTAAATAGTAATGACATACGAGATTAAAGTGTCGATACTCGAAAAATATGATTTTATTGCAATAAATAAAATCAATAAAAAAAGGAAATGAAACATTTTGTATTTAATTGATTTGAGATGAAAATGCAGAAAGAAAAACAAAAGGGACTAGTTCTGCCAAAAGTAGAAAATTAATTTGGAAGTGATGAGATTTGGGAAATCATTTTCCAAAATCACGTTTTTCTTGTTTTAGAGATGGTTAACGGCTTATAAATTGGATTTTTCGGCTGAAAATTTGTGGAGACGTTCCTAAGGGTGTAAGGGAGTAAACGTCTTTGGAATTTCGAGATTTCATTAAGAAACGAGAGAGATATCGAGTTTGAAGCGGCATAGGGTCATTTCGCACAAAAACGGTGATTGGAGGTAAAATACTCAACCAAAATTGATGTATAATATATGGTTGGCTTCGTTTTTCAATTACCTTTCTGTTGGTACAAGTCTCGTGGGCTATGGTGGCTTGTACGTCAAGCGGTTTAGGCTAGAAGCTGTTGTGGCAGCGGCTCGACGAGATTCGGGTACAAAAACTCAAAATACGAGTTTAATATTGAATCGTAGGGGCTGTAAAATTGGATACGAGTTGGGATTATTATTATGTATAAGATTTTGTAAAAAGTTTGGTGAAAAACGATCGGAAAAATATCTCAAACGAAAATCATTCACGATAGCTGCACCAAGGGTGCGACCGGGTTGCGGGCGTCGAGTGGAGTCGGCCGACACTAGACCAGGTTTAGGCCATGGCCGACTTATTTCGGTCGAGTTCGGTTAGACTCGAGTTGTTTTGTTAAAATCGGTATTTGTTAAAAAAATAGATTTGGGGCTCGTTTATTTACTTGGATTCATCGAAATAAATCGGGATGTTTCGATTAAGTTGGTCAAGATTTGGACATCAATTGTAAAGGTTATTAATTAATTGGATTTTCATATTAAATTATAAGAAATAATTTAGTAACTTATTTCGGGAGTTGTGACTAGATAATTGTGGGATCGGACGTTTTTATAACGAGAATCGTATATAATTAAATGTTGGGTTTAATACGTCGTAATTTATTTCGGATATGAAAAGAATTCCATTGGGGAGGGGGTATATGGCGACGAGGTATGCTTGGGGTTGACCCGTTGACCATTCTTACCCCAACGTTGACCTATTTGACTTTCAGGTTGACTTTTTGGGAAATGTCAATACTCTAATTATTGAAATATAATTACATGTTATTGGATATTACTCAGGGACGAGGTTTAGCCAAACAGAGCTATTCAGGTGAGTCTTCATGCTGAGATGCATGCTTATGTACAAATTATTTGAGCATTACGATATTTTTATGTACATGTTTATGTTTTTTTTACATGTATATGAATTATTATTGTGGGTTGCATGCTATTTGTTTACGTGTTTTTAAACATTAATTAGCATGTTATAAACGGGTTAATATTTTAGTCGGGTATGGGAAAGGGTCAAAAGTCATAGGGATGGCACATCCTAGGGATGGGTGACCGAACAAGGGATAGCCGTGTAACCCGAGGAAGTGCCGATGACGGTAAGACCTTAACCCGACGGGAAATTAAGAGATCTCATTATTATTTCAAAAGGGTTTGAAACAAATATGCATATTATTTTACTTGGGGCATTGTTTGTTTTATGCATGATGAGGTGTGTATGATTGTGCACAAAAACCATGAACTCACCGAACTTTATAAAGCTGACTATTAGTATGCATCTCAGGTGCAAGAGGTTCAAGGGTGGACAAGWGCGAGGTTCTCTCCTAGATAATTATATTATTGTTATATTTCGGATGGTTAAGTTTATGCTTAAACTCATTTTGTAATGTAAGTCGGCATGGGACGGGTTAGCGTTGAGTTATTAATTTTAATTGAATTTGTAAGACTTCCGTTGTAATAAGGATTTATTAGCCACTATATTTTGGGGTTATTTATTGTTATTTAATGAGAATGATGTGACACAACTCATGGTGAAAATGACGGTGTTACAGGTGGCTTGCTGGAACACACTAACGACATCAGCCTAGTTATCCGGGATAACAGAGATGTTCAACTTGGGCTTTAGGCCATTCCAAACCTGATTAGGATACGGACACTCAAAGAAGATATGCTGATGAAAATCGGGCCCGCTATGACAGAAAGCACATGACATGTTAGAATGGGCCTCCCTGAACCGAAGTTTATCATGTGTCTTCAGACGTTGTTTGAGGACAACCCAAAAAATGAAGGCATGTCTGGGAATGTTTTGAGAGAACCAGACTATGTGATGTCAACCGACGTCCGGCTTATTGGGGAGGATGGAGGGCCATACCTCATGGACAGAAAAAGAAAGAAAAAGAAGTAAGACGTCCATCCCTTTTTCTCCAAAAGAGTTTATCGGGGACAGAGGGGGAGAGGACAGGAGGAGAAGAATCACAAATAAGGGGGTTGGGACTGTTACGCGGATGGGGGCAAGTCCAGCTACCCTGACAGATAATATCCTTAATGGAGGCATTGAGGGAGAGGTTAGCACTAAAGATATTATGGGGGGAGATTTGCCGACAGAGGGGGACAGCAGGGTTCCAGTTATCAATTGACCAATAGAAAACTAAAACTTTTTGAAGATGTAAAAGAGGTCTATGATAAATAAGAAACATAACAATGTCAATATCACATTTATTTTAATGGAGTTATGTGCATTACATATATCTTACATGTTTGGTTGGGATTAAGTTGTACTGTATGTTTGGATTTAGTTGTATGTACGAATATGGCTAAGTTGTCCGATTATTATGTTGAATAAACAGGCTGAACGGTATAAATGATGAATTTACCCTTGGTGTTTGTTTTTGCTTTTTTTTTAAATATCTTAATAATTAATTTAATTATCAGATAGGATTTTAAATGATATAGTAGGTTTGATCATCAATGCATAAAGTCCATATCTGAGTTGAGTCATCACCTTCCATGAAATCCAACCCCTTCATCCATCACCTGCACTTTTGATTATCACCCAGTCGACTAACCCATTACCGGTTAATAAAAATCCAAAACAAATGTTTGGATTAGTTAACCTTGCAAAACAATTTTACAATTGTGGTAGTAGATCTCGTAAGAAATCGCGCGGGTAGTGGACGAAGCGGAAGCGAGAATGTCGGCTTGAGTAACGCAAACATTGGTGAGAAT